TTTATGTGTATGCTTTTTGTATTTTTATGGTTTTGAAAATTTTTCGTCGGATTTTTTTTGCCGGTCTGATAATTTGATAATCGCTGATTGTCAGAGACCGTAACGAAAGGTTATGATGATAAATAATGGAATTGTTCTGAAAAAATCACGTGTCATTGAACTACTAATGTGATTTAAATACTTGAAAATTTTTGCTTATCACTATTGATCGTTTCTAAACTTGTATTAAGTTACTGGATTTTTACTCCTTTTTACTGTTTCAGGTCGAATTTATGTCTAACTAAGGCTTATGCGGGCTTATTCCGTTTTTGGTTGAATAAAAAAACATCTATTATTTTATAAAAATATTGAAGTGTAGAGGGTGGCTTATTTATGATATTTCCGTTTGTATTGTAATTTGATTTTTTTGCTCGAGTAAAAGGTCACAAATTTTACCCTGCTTAGATCTAAAATTTTCCATCTTTGATGTGACTATTGTTAAAAATTAAAGATTTTAAAAATTTAATGATTGATACGTGGCAACGACAATGATTACTTATGATGTGAGAATAAAAAAAACTCACTATTCTGTTTTTTGTTTCTTATTGTTTGTACGCGTATTTGTTTATTGATTTTACTATATTTTTCTAGCCAAAAATTAAAACGTGTTTCTTGGCTGTGTGAAAATTGTAATGCTAATGTACTGACGCGAAGCCTCTGGCAAATGACTTAAACTTATAAACATGTATATGCTTTATAGCTGTGAAATAATACTAGCGTTATGATATACATGTTAATGATGATGTTTAAATCTTAACCAAGTTTGTGTTACTTCTTTGAAAAAATGTATTTAAATGAGTAGATGACAATTCATTTCGCTGCACTTTTTATTTTTGGTAAAAAAAAAAATATAAATAAATAAAAAAAATAAAAAAAACAAATCAAAAACTTTTACAGGTAAATTTGTTTAAATATTACTTAGCGTTAGCATTTATTTATATTGGAGTATGTTAAAAAAATTTAATCATTTTACTTGCTGATTTTTTTCTTATGTTTAAATAAATACTTTGTTTTTTCTTTTTGATATTGAAAAAATATCCTAATTTTTTAAGGACTATGCCTGGTACTATTACTGTTCTGTGCTATGTCACCGAATATAGATCAAACTCTAGTCAAAGCTTCGACATAGTTGATGCTTCAGCGATTATGAATTCTCATTCTTTGAATTCATCTTTAAAAATCTTTTTAAAAGGATTTTACTCTCGAAATACTACACAGGAATTTAGTCTTCCTTCTTTTGGAAAAGAAGATGTGGTACTTGTGACAGGAAAATTTCGTGTAGTCGAATACATAAACGAAAAAAACGAAACTCTTTCAGCCATAAAAGTAAGTATAAATTTTTTATTTGTATTATATTGTTAAGACATTTAATTTTTAACTATCTAATTAATTGCTTTAATGTGAATGCCACTGAATAAAAACTTTGTGAATAGATCAAAAATCTTTTCTAACAAGATAACTCTTTGAAACTATAATTTATGGTACATAGTCTCGAAAGGTTATTTCGTTAGAAAAGATTCTAAATGTTTAGGTTTTACACTATTACGAAAACTTAATTATTCACTAAGTCTTGATTCAGTAGCTTTCATATTCTTTATAATTATAAAAAATTAAAATTTATCTGTAGATCGTTATAAATGACCTTGTTCATTTTGGTATTGAACTGACTAATCTTCCGAAATTTCCAGCTTTAGTCTGCATGACTGCAATAGTACAAGAACTCCCGAAAGTTGATGGTGATGATGCAACTATGGTTGTTGTGATGACTGACTATATGGACCAAGATTCAACATCTACTCAAATGAATTGCTACTACCTTGCAACAGCTCCGCATTTGATGCGTGTAACTAGAGCTATAAAAAAAAATTCACTTCTTTTTATTAACGGAGAGTTTCTTTTGTATAATAATAAAATTTTTGTGCATGTTAAAAATATAACCTTTTCGGGTTACCAAAAATCCTTAGAAAATACAAACACTTCGGCTGAAATCCCTTGGGAATCTGAACTTCATAATGAACCAAACAAACATGTTAGCTTCGCTGAAACGATAGCTGAAAGATTTGATCGCAATGCTAAGAATAAAGAACCTTTGTCAGTACCTGAACTTTCCTCTAAAAACAAACCTTCTTCTAAAATCAAACCCTCCTCTAAAGTCAAACCTTCATCTGTAATCAAACCCGTCTCTCCGATAAAACCTTTTTCTGTGAAAAAACCTTCCTCTGTTATTAAATCTTCTTCAGTGATTAAACCTGTTTTATCTACTAAACCGTACATGCGAACTAGAAATCGATGAAAGTTAACAGACCTAGCAAAAGATGCATTAACTAATTCAACTGAATTAGATCTATTGCCGAATTCAACTGAAATAGGTCTGTTGCCTAATTCGACTGAACCGGATCTGTTGCCTAATTCAACTGAACAAGATCTGTTGCCTGATTTAACTGAATCTGATGTGTTATCTCCTATAGATGTTGACGTTCTGTCAGAATAAGAATTAATAATTTTTATAATTATATATATTCTATGTGATATTTGTTAAATAAATTACCTACTTATTTTGTTCTTTTTTTTTTTGTTTTTAAATTTTATGACTAGCTAATTGAGTTCTTGTATTTATACAACAAATTAAAAAAATTAAATATTTACTAACTCTAAACTTAAAAATCTTAGTATATGAATTTAGTTTAGAAATTTAATTTTAGAAATCTTATTATAAAAACTTACTACAGAAACCTACTTTTAAGAATCTAATACGAGAATTTTTATATATGATTGGTCTAAACGTTATGTCTGTCGTAAATATATATTAATAAATTGTGAAAATTTATAAACATATTATTACTGTCATGATCAAAAGACCTCGTATTGCTTCTCTGACCTATATCAATCACGATATAGTTACATCGTATTTGTGAACTTGGTTCGTGATCTCAATTGAGTTTGTCACGAGATCTATGTTCATGGAACTATATAGTTAACAGAATGTCCCTGCAATTTTCTCATGATGTCCTATAGTTTTCTTGTATAGTTATACTTTTAATTAACGGTTAATATTATAATATAACGTGATAACCGATAGGTATCGTAAACATCGAGAATACTATTGATACTAATAGTTCTAAATGTTTCTTTAATTTATATTATTGTTGTTGTATCTTTTGTTTCTATTTATTATATCCATATATATATGTTTCAATATATTATCACTAGTATAACTAATCGCTCTATGCAGATATACTATAACTGAATTAATATTTGAACCTAATTTACGTGTATAAATATCCTCGATTTTTTTTTGAAAATTGACTGTTTGTTTAAATAATAAATTCATAAACAAAGTACAAATTTCTAAATCTTGTATCGTTTAATATAAAGTTGAAATAACTCTTAAATATTTTACTAATAAACCATATTAGTGATATCTGTATATTTATATACTAATATTAATTTAGCCTCTTTCATTGCCTTTACACGATCTTCTCTGAAACTGTAATTGATATACTAATACTTAAGCTATAACATGCTATCTATTTCCGTATAGATACAACAGTCTCGGAAACTATTTGAGAGTATGACATTACCTTAAATGCAAATTACTTACATTTTAAAAAATTACCTACTAACTCTGTCTTTATTTTATATCAAAATCTAAATAAGACTTATTGAAAATAAAACGCGAAAAATCTTTTTAATACAAAATCTAATTACAATACTTTTTGGAACTATATTCACTTGCTATTAAACTATAAATTCATTCGAATTTGTTGTTTAATCAAATAAACATTAACGTTTATTCGCGTTAGTTATCTATAACGTTTTTCTATCCTACACTTAATTGTTAAACTTTCCTTTTAACGCTCCCGTATCCACCGATTTGATTTTTAAAAGTCATTTTTTTATGAGTGGTTACATGAACTATTGTCAATGAAATTACGTAAAAGTAACAAACATACTCAATAAAAGAGCTTCTTTAGTCCCCGTATGAGATAAATAAGAAATAAATACTAGTAAAACTGTTATACTAAGCTGTAGAATGAAAGTACTTTCTCTATTTATTGAAATATTCGGGTATTTTCTGGTAGTAAACGATCAGTTTGTCATTGAACGATCGGTTGTGTGATAAGTAAGAATGAATTCAAAAGCAAATTTTCGAGAAAATGACCTTTTTAACTCACTTTCGACTTATGATTAAATAAGAAAATATTACGATACTTTATGTACTTAATTATATATTCAGAGTAAGTTTAAGTAATCATTTTTATGACAACTTACTTCGTGTACGAAAATCTAAACGATGTTATTCCTATTACGATTGGCTGATTATAAAGTTAAACCAAATCGGTGCATATGTATACTATTTACTTTATCTCCACCCAATTATTCTCATAAGATGAATCTACTATGGATGAATACGCCTCGTGTATCACGACTCTAAAATTTACCTACGATTCACGCTTGCGAATAAATAAAAAAGCTATGCCTAAACTAATTTACAAAATTGAATATCGAATAAAAAATATTATGATGAAAAAAATTTATTTTAGGAAATATTTAATCAACAGGTAAATATATCGATATTGAAATGTAAGTTATAATGATAAATATCGATCAAAAATAGTAATAACAAATTAAATATATGTAATTTATTAATATCTTTTCTGTGATATAATAAAACTATATGCATGAAAAATTCAACTTGAAATGTATATAACGTATGATATGCCTTAGGCATAGTTTTTTAGTTACCAAGATAAGCAATATTTGCTAAATGATATATTGCTATTTTATGCTACGTTTACCTACGATTCACACTTGCATTATAAATAAGAAGGCTATGCCTAAACTAATTTACGAAATCGAATATCCGAATAAAAAATGGTAAGATGAAAAAAAATCTATTTTGGGAAATAATTAATCAACAGGTAAGTATACGTGTCGATATTGAAATGTAAGTTATAAAATGATATTATAATCAAAAATAGTAATAACAAATTAAATAAATGTGATTTATTTATATCTTTTTTTCTGTAATATAATAAAACGATATGCATAAAATGTTTTACATACTTAAAATGTATATATTATATAACATGCCTTAGGCGTAGTTTTTTTGTTACCAAAATAAGCAATATTTGCTAAATAATGTATTGCTGTTTTGTGCTATGTTTACTTACGATTCACACTTGCATTATAAATAAAAAGGCTATGCCTAAACTAATTTACAAAATCAAATATCTGGTGTTGGGATCTGAATAGGTCCCAGACCCAAAAACCACAGTTCACTATGTTATTTTTAATATATTAGATATTTCTATTTTAGTTTGGTGGGGCTTGTGGGAAGAGGAATGTGTCTTGCTGCTGGATTGGAAATAAGGCTTGGGAATCGAAATGTATACGTTGTAGGCTATGTGATGTGATGATCGAAATGTATACGTTGTCGGCTATGTGACGGTTTGGCTAAGGGAAATCGGAACATATATGCGATATCATATAGAATGTGTATGTTTTGGATAGTAAAACGTATACGCGATAATGGTAAAATGTACACGTTATAGAATACTGGGAACAAAGAGAATAGTGAGATTAGTTTTTATAGTAAAATAACTGTATAAATATAGGTCCCCTTGGCCTTCCCAAACATTAGTTATCGATAAAAACTTATTAAATAAATTATATTATTTCGCGTTTGAACATCTTTAACTTTCTAAATCTTAAATTACCTTAAACCCACTAAATAAATAATCGATTCCTCACCATATTTTTTTGTTGTTTTTTTTGATTAACGAATAGTGTATACGCTGGGTCTCTTATTTAACATAAAGGAAGTAAGTATTAAGGCTGAATAAACCTTTCCCTGAGTAACTAAGAGCTGTATACTAGATAATTTGTGCTAAGTATAGAGATATTACGACTAACATATGATAAGATTGTTAATAGGATCAATCTGTTTAGATTACGTTATTTTGTTATTAGAATAGTGATCAACGTTAAGATCACTTTTAAGTTGTTAGTTTATTATACGTTTAAGATTAATCCCTGACTATTTAGATTGAATTATTCCCGACCTCCCCTTATTATATCATCATCTCGATTGATTATATCATCCCTATCCCCTTCTAAACTATTCTCGATAAAATTATTATTGCCATTATAGGTCGCTCTCCCAACTTTCCTTATAATCTTAGCGATTCTTACCCATTACCCTATTGACTATTGGAGCTAAACCGTACAACGTTACCTGCTCTCCCAATTTACAATAGTAATACTATATAAAAAATATTATGATGAAAAAAATCTATTTTAAGAAATAATTAATCAACAGGTAAGTATATCAATATCGAAATGTAAGTTATAATGATATTATCAATCAAAAATAGTAATAACAAATTAAATAAATGTGATTTATTAATATCTTTTCAGTAATATAATAAAACAATATGCATAAAAAGTTCTACGTGCTTAAAATGTATATGTTATATAGTTTTTTTGTTACCAAAATAAGCAATATTTGCTAAATAATGTATTGCTGTTTTGTGCTACATTTACTTTCACACTTGCGTTATGGAGAGCTTGTCAACGAAGTGACGAAGCGAACATTATTGCGAAATCAGATGACTTTATAAATCACATTCTCATTGTCGTATTAGTATATTTTAAGTTGTTTTTGTAATTTCTTGGCACCTCCTAATTTGTATCGTAATTGCATATAATTATTCGTTAATGGTTTGTATTAGTTTTATCAAATGGGTAATAAAGTTAAGATAAAATCATTTTGACATATGTATGATAATAGAGGCGAAAGGGGTAAAGGCTTTACGATTTGAGGAATTATTTAAGCCTTTTTTGACGATTAGAGAGGATTGTTTTTCTCTTCGCTATCACTCGCCTTGTAGAAGGCTAGCTCTGTTTTCCCGCCCTTTCCCCTAATAATATGGTTATTTCGGGCTCAGCAGCTGTTTTCACAGTGCAAGACCCATTTTTAGTGCTAAGAGGCTTCGCAGCTACAAATGCAGTGCAAAGACCTCTTTTATTGTTACAGTGTGGGGGCTCTATGGCTATAGTAGTGCAAAGACCCCTATATTGCTTAAATATGATTCCGATTCTCTGCGCAGCTTTGTAATCTCTCCTGAACAAGATGCCTTCGTATAGCCATATTGATTATTTTGTAGTGGATCTAGAAGGTTTAAGTAGAGTAAAGAAGGGTAGTATATATTTAGTTATAAGTATTAAAAGGAGTTAGGATTATTAATATTGTTTAAATGAACGATAGTGAACAAATTCCTATATGTTTTCATCTCTGTTTTAATAAAGCCACCTAATTAAGCAATAATAATGAATAAAAAGGCTATGCCTAAACTAATTTACAAAATCAAATATCCGGATAAAAATATTATGATGAAAAAAATCGATTTTAGGAAATATTTAATCAACAGGTAAGTATATCGATATTGAAATGTAAGTTATAATGATAATATCAATCAAAAATGGTGA